TTCACCAGGCAAAATATGTACAAGTTTGGTTTAGGTTCACAAATAAAATAAAAATAAAAAGTGTTCACGAATGCTTGTTCAATTAACTTTTCAGGTACACCACCGTTTTTTATTTATAAACTTTTCCCTTCGCAGACGTACAGTGGTTTGGTGGACGTTATGTTTTTGTTTCTTCTTGTTTTTTTTTTTCTTTTCTGTTAAAGGTTTAAATGGACATTTTAATACATGAATATTCTATTGAATTTTCTGATTAATCAAATATTACATTTGACAATGTTTCAAGTGAAACGAGACCATGGTCTGCTGCTAAAACATGGAATAAAACAACTAATTTATGAGGCTGAAGTGTCAGACTTGTTATAGCTGAAGTGTCAGACTTGTTATAAGAGGCTCAGTAGGGAGCCTAGGTCTCTTCACTTTCCAGTTGGCTCATAGGTCCCCAGAACAACGAAAAAAATTAATGAAAGTAGGGCTGCGCGATATTAGGAAAACTTATGATATGCGATAACATTGATAATATTTCAATGACGATATTACTTGCGATGAATAAAAACTTAACTCAGGAACAAAAATGATCAAAAACAAAGCACTAAAAAAACTGAAAAAAGTTAATTAAAATGAGAAAAGCAAAAGATGTGAAGAAAAGGGAAAAAGAAAATGAACAAGAAAAGGCAATCGGTGGATCCCAGGAAATGCAGATTTGGCAGAAAGAGCAGAACAAAGCTAACTCAGGTGTTTGCTAACTATCAAAATGAGAACCCACCCAATTGGCCAAATGGGTAAAGAGCTCTACTTGATTTCTTAAAAAAACATAATGCTTCTGTTTGATTGACAGAATGCATTATGTGTAGCAAACATTTGAGCTGACCATTCATTGCGATATTTATTTGTTTTTTGCGATATGCATATTGCGTGGGCTGATATCACGATAACGATATATTTGCTTATATGTTCTAAATGCATCTTTAAAATTCACGGACATCATATGTGAAACCATATGTGAAATCTATGGCACACAAAAACCTAAATTAGAAAGTAGACTTTTTAGTCCCATTGACTTGCATTTTCCAGGAAATCATGGCTCAGAAGTAGATGGGTGTGACATAGGCTCCCTTTAATATGTACTGAATTGGTGTTGTATAGCCCCCTCTTTCCCATCTGATATTTATAGTTAGAGGCACTGACTACCCGGCCGCAGGGTAGTCCGTGCCTGCCGTGGTGGCAATCCCTGAACTCGCGGTTAGACTTTGAAGGTTGGGTTGCCATCTAGTCCCATCGGGTGTTTTTGGTTTCTAGGCCTCCAAAGGCAGCTGATGGGTATCGGCAGGCTAAGCAGAATGCAGCCCTGGTGGTCACAGATGCAAAACCCCGGACATGGGTGGAGTTCGGTCAGACTATGGAGAATGACTTCGTACCGCTTTGAGGGGATCCTGGTCCACCATCCAGCATCTCAGGAGGGAAAAGCAGTGCACTACCAATACTGTTTACAGTGGGGATGGTGTGCTGCTGAACTCAACTCGAGACGTTGTGGATTGGTGGGCAGAGTACTTCGAAGACCTCCCCCAGTGTTTCCCCTACATAGGCTCAGGAGTGTTGCTGTGCCACAACTGAAAGTTCAGCGCCACGCCAACGAGACCCCCACCCCACAGGGCAGCTGTGGCTACATTGTAGCTCATCCCCACCAGCGTGTGAATGTGTGTGTGTGTGTGTGTGTGTGTGTGAATGGATGAAAGATACACTGTAGTGTAATGCGTGTGTGTCTGTGTCTGCTCTGTCTTCTTGATCCCCAGTGAGTTGTGGCGGATGGCTGCTTATACTGAGCCAGGATCCTCTGGAGCAGGGGTCGGCAACCTGTTCCCATCAAAGAGCCATTATTACCCATTTCCCACAGTAAAGAAAACAATGGGAGCCACAGCAGCCGCGGCGTTGTGGACGGGACCTACCCTCAGACAGCAGAGAGCTGCTTTAACCAATCACAACAGGTGACAGCAGCCAGTACCGGTCGCTCGTGTACGTCAAAGTTATCTTTTATAAGACGATAATCAATAAAAAGATTTATATAAAGTGGATCCAGAAGTTGTAGCCCATCTCTGCCTACAATATTTTGACATTTTTCACCCTGTTGGTGGTTTTACTGAGCAGATGCCACTTTTGTCATACGTTTCTTTTTAAAACATGTTTAGACTGTTCAGAATACAAATCCAGGCCCTGTCACGTTTGATTGTTGTAATTAAACTTTGTAGGTGGGGAAGGTCAGAAAAGGATCCGATCATTTTGTTTTTCCCTCATTTACAGTGACGGAGATAACGGCGCAGTGCGCCTGGATCTGGTGTTAATCAAGTAAAATTATATCTCTTTGCAACAATTTTCACAAGAAAACAGAACAGTTAAAAGCAGGGCTTGTGTTGACCGGACAGTTCCCGTGTTTGGCCGTTTATTTTGACGGAGAAAGAATAGAAAGAATTACCCTGATGCACGCAGACGAACTGACATTTTATTCGTTATGCACATCGCAGATGTCGCTAAATCACTGAAGAAAAGATTCCCATCTGAACATCTGAGCTGGACACTGCTCAGCGCAGGTCACTGTCAGCGTGTACTACATAAGGTCCACAGCGAGCTGAAGATGTGGAGAGGGGCTTGGAGCGCGTCGCAGAACCAGAGCGCATGCGGGAAGATTCCTCCGACTGAAGCAAGACTTGTCTCTTAGAAAATGTTCCCTGATTATGAAACTTTGGCTGAATAGTGCTTGTTCCTGTCTCCAATGTGGCGACACACCCAGGAGCCTGTCTGAGGAGAATCCCAGAATCTCACATCCTCTTCAGCTCAGAAAGCGCATATGATTACGCAGAAGCGTGACGCGTCAACCCGGTCTCACAGTAAGACCGGGTTGGAACTGTTCAGGTTTATGCAGACAATCTTTACATTTAGAATTGGCATACAGATGTAAAATTAATGCAGTAAAATATAAAGCTTTTTATTTAAATACCCACTCATTATTTTACAAGCACTGAGAGCCACATCAGATGGATGGAAGAGCCGCATGCGGCTCCAGAGCCGCGGATTGCCGACCCCCGCACTCTGGAGGATTATTCCTGTTAAAAGGGAGTTTTGCTCTCCACTGTCGCTTAGTATGAGGATTGCTGTGAAGTCACTGACACTAAACAGTAGCCACGTTTACATGCGCATATTTAATCGGATTGAATGCCCATTCAGATTGAAAATTCTGCATGTAAACATGTCAATCGGAATATTCTGATCCGATTCGGCCCGATCGGATTGAAATTTCAATCCGATTGAGAGAGGTGGTTTATTCCGTTCTTCATTCCGATTGACGTGCATGTACACAGCCATTCGGATTGTTGGGGTAAAATAATGCCCACTGCGCATGTGTGCAACAGCCAGCGGGCCTCTCCGCTGTCATTTGGACTGCCTGACTTCAAAAATGACGGTGTAATTAACGAGCGGTGGCTTTTAAATCCGACGACAAGCCGTCCCCGTTTCAGTAATATTTAATTCAGAACTTGCATTTTGTGGAAGTAAAATAAAAATCTGATTATTGCACAAATCATTCGACAAACATGTTCAAATCTGTACTGGAAATACGCAGGTTTATCGCGGGGGTTGCAGCGCACGGATCCCCGTTTCTGTCAGCTTTTAACGCAGCAGCTTCTGCAGCAGGTGGTGGAGACGCGCTTGTAAAGAAGACAGGATAATCTGGGTTTTACAGACCTGATTGGAGTCTGATGTTGGGTAGGAAAACGTCCTCGGTTAAACACTCTGGACGACAGTAAAGTCCGTGTTAGAAGCACGTAAACGCAGATGACCTGAGATGCGGTTCGTTAATGATGAACACAGGCTTCTAAAACTTTCTGAACATCTTCTGTTATTTTGTTTGAACAAATTTTTCTCAACAGTTTCAGCTGATCGTCACATGTTAATAATAAGCCACAACAGAGCTCAGTAATAAAACATGAGGCTAACCCCCCCCACCCCCGCTCTGAGCTGCAGCGCAGCGCAACAGCTGTCAATTCAGACCCGCGGACCAGCTGATCAAGAGGCAGACATAACCCTCCCTTATTTTAATCAACAATAAAATGTAGCAAAGCATATATGTGCAGTTATTCACTGAAGAAAACGTCACTTCTATGAGCTAAATAAAAATATTAAATTGAATAAATAGATCAGGAAAGCAGGAAGAATAGTTATTTCTGTTTTTACATTTTTCTTTTCGTTTCATGGCGTTTGTTTACAATTTTTCTTTCGGCAAAGGCAACTCTGCGCATGCTCAACCTATTTAATCGGATTAAATGCTTGGTGCGTATGTACGCACGGCATGATCGGATCATTTCAGTTCGTGTCCATGTGAACAGAGATTCGGAAATTCCGATCAACCAAGATTTCAATCGGATTGAGGAAATTTGCCACATGAAAACGCAGCTAGTGACTCGATGCAATTTGCTGAGTTCCTTATTTGGGAAACTTTTTTCTGATTGGCTTAATGAATTGACCTGTATTGGAATGTTTATTATGTGAAGTGCCTTGAGACAACACTTGTTGTGATTTGGTGCTATATAAATAAACTTGAATTGAATTAATGCACTTTGGAGTCCTTTGACTCTGAATGGCGCAACACGTGCAGGTCATTTATCATCCATGTCACTCAACCAAGCAACAAACAAAATAAAACAAAAAGTAAGAAAAGTCAAATTTTCTCTTCCAGCAAACATTTCCATTGCACTTCCAATAAAAATAATGATGTTAGGGCTTCTTCTGCATTTGAAAATCAGTTCGTGCAGACAACTGATGCAAATAAATAATTTGAGACAATAAAAAGCTTTCTTTTTCTCAAATATTTAGCATGAATGTAACTGATTTTGCAGACTGCTTACCAGTTTTTCTAATATTCTCAGATGCTGAATTTGGAACTTTCATTAGTTGTCAGTTAAAGAGAGAACTGAAGTTTAAGAACTTCGTAAAGCATTCTTGTAGATCGTTACCTCGTAGTACTTCTGCAAAGAAGCCAACAAGCAAACTCTCAAGCCAATGATCAGTTCCTCTGTGGGTGCCTGGAAAGTGACTCTTGAGTACCAGCGGGTCAAAGAGCTGGAAATGAGATGCTTAATTAGATAATGTCCTTACACAATTAAGTCAAACAATAACACAAAACAGAAAAGGCTTACAGGTTGAATATGGAACACAAACACCATAGTTACATTTAGGGTGAAGATTGTAGTTCCAACAATAGAACAAAGTTTCCAACCATTTGGATGTCAGGCTCGCTATAAAGTGAACAGCCAGCCAGCACCATCTCCAGTGATGAATCGTACAGGGTAAGAACTAAATTCTGCTAACACGTTTATTTTACAACAGTATTTAAAGTTAGATAACCTTCTGGGCTTAGAAGCAGCTGACTGACTTGCAGAGTCTGCTATATTCCACAGTGCCAGCCTTGCTGTGCTGAGCGAACCACTCATTGTATTTGGCAACCTGAGGTGGAGGGAAGCGGGGTACATCGAGTCCGAGTGAGCCATGTTAGCTGCTTTTATTGTTGAGGCAGCTGATCGGAGCTGTGGCCAAGGGGTTTGTCAGGTGCCCGTCGTGGTGGAAAGCCCCCGAACCCACTGGTTGACACCAGCGGTTAAGGATGCTGTCAAGCTGAAGACAGAGTCCTATCGAGTTTTGATGGCCCATTGGGACTCCAGAGGCAGCTGATGGGTACCACCGGCACTCCAAGCGGAATGCGGCTTGGGTGGTCACAAAGGCAAAAACCCGGGAGGAGTTTGGTGAGACCATGGAGAAAGACTTGCGTATGGCTTTGAGGAGATTCTGGTCCACCATCCGGTGTCTCAGGAGGGGAAAGCAGTGTGCTACCAAAAATGTATACAATGGTGACGGTGCTGTTGACCTCTACTCGGGACGTTGTGGATCGGGGTGGAATACTTCGAAGACCTCCTCAATCCCACCAGCACGATAGATGAGATCCGTCCAGAGTTTAAGGCTCTGGATTTTGTGAGGCTGTGTTGGTTGACGTGGTTCTGCAGTATCGCATGGACATCAGGGGCAGTTCCACTGGACTGGCAGACTGGAGTGGTGGTCCCCCTATTTAAAAAAAAAAAAAAGGGGGGGGGGGGGGGGGGCAGAGTGTGTTCCAACAACACAGGATCACACTTCTGAGCCTCCCTGGTAAGGTCTATTCAGGTGTTCTGGAGAGGAGGGTCTGTCGGATTGTCGAACCTCAAATTCAGGAGGAACAATGTGGTTTTCATCCTGGCCGCGGAACACTGGACCAGCTCTATACCCTTAGAGCAGGGATGCCCAATCCTGGTCCTAGAGGGCCGGTATCCAGCATGTTTTAGTTTTAATTCTGCTTCAACAAACCTGATTTCAATCAGCAGGTAATTAACAGGCTTCTGCAGAGCCTGATGAGATGCTGCACAGGTAATTCAACCAGTTAATCAAGTGTGTTGGAGCAGAAAAACCACAAAACCTGCTGGATACCGACGCTCCAGGACCAGGATTGGAACCCCTGCCTAAAGCTGGGAGGACACTGTGCGACTTTTTCACTCGTAGCACTCAGCTTCAGCTCAAACTGTACGACTTCCTCGCAGGACAGATCTCACGAGCCATGCGCTCACACTGTACGACCCAGTTCTCGGATGCAACCTGACTGCTCACACTGTACGTCTGGTAGCAACACGTCAGACCTAAAAATATGCTAAAAATAGCAGTTTTTACACAACACGTTAAGACTTTTTTTTGTCTTGCCTGTTATCATTCGGGAGGGCTGCAGGAGGGCACACGGGGATTTATGGGGGTTGGATGAGGAAAATGAAATAAAGAAAGTAAATCTGTGTTTTGTGATCAGTTTAATTTGACAAGAACATGACAAACACGCTTTCTTGACAATCTTTGTGAGTGAAAAAACGTGTAGAAATAAAAATGAACAACGTGTGTTATTAGGGAAATAGCGGGTGAGCGGTGATGATGCATGATTGCGCATGTGCCGTGAGCGGTTCTGGTACTTTTTGGGTCACAGCTGCTCGCAGAGCTGCTTCAACAGTGCAATACCCTCACGAGGGACGAGCAAAATATCAAACACGCCAGAAGTCCGTGCGAGCTCACGATTACTGATCGGTAGCTGGTCACGTGGTGTTAAATTGCCTCTCGTAACCCCCTGTATACTACACAACGCTCAGCGCAAAACTCTCCCCGATCTTGTGGATTCTCGCACGAGTGGAAAATCGGCTCAGAAAAGTGAAAAAGTCGCACAGTGTAAGCCCGGCTTTAGAGGGATCCTGGAGGGTATGTGGGAGTTCACCCAACAAATTTAAATACGTTTTGTGGATTTGGAGAAGGCATTTGACCGCGTCCTACGGGAGGCCCTGTGGGAGTAAGGGCTACCAGGCCTTTTGATATGGACTGTTAGGTCCCTGTATGACTGGTGTCAGAGCTTGACCCACATTGCCAGCAGTAAGTCAAGCTTGTTTCCGATGAGAGTTGGACTCCACCAAGGCTGCTCTTTGTCACGGATTCTGTTCATAACTTTTATGAACAGGATTTCTAGGCGCAGCCAAGGTGTTCAGGGGATCTGTTTTGGTAGCCTAAGGATCAGCTCTATGCTTTTTGCAGCTTCATCAGACAGTAATCTTCAGCTTTCACTGAAGTGGTTTGCAGCAGAGTGTGAAGCGGCTGGAAGGATGCAGATGAAGGGGGTCCTGTTGGCTTCGGCTGGAAGGAGAAACAGAACCTCTAAATCCGAGACCATGGTCTGGCATTGGAAAAGGGTAGAATGACTTCTCCAGGTGAGGGACGAGGTCCTGCTTCAAGTGGAGGAGTTAAAGTAACTCGGGGTCTTGTTCACGAGTGAGATCGATAGGCAAAATGGTGCTCCTTCTGCAGTGATGCGGACAGTCGATCTACGTTTTTACCCTCACCTATGGTCATGAGCTTTGGGTAGTGACCGAAAGAACGAGATTGTGGATACAAGTGGCCAAAATGAGTTTTCTTCGCAGGGTGGCAGGGCTCTCCCTTAGAGATAAGGTGAGAAGCTTGTCATCCGGGAGGGGCTTGGAATAGATCCGCTGCTCCTCCATGTCAAAAGGAGCCAGTTGAGGTGATTCGGGCATCTGGTAAGGATGCCTTCTGGATGCCTCTCTGGTGAGGTTTTCCAGACACATCCAACTGGGACAAGATCCAAGGGAAGACCCAGGACTATGGGTGTTTTTTAAAGCCAAGGAAACGTGCCGTGATGTCTTGGTCCCGTCACGTCAGGAGCCATCAAGGCGCGTTCCAATATTTGTGTTCTATCAAGGCATCTGGTCTCCGTTTGTTAGCTATCAAGCTAACCTGGTGCTGCAGTCTGGCTTCAGAACGTTTGCTGCATGTTTTTTCATGATCACAGCTGATTTGTTTAATTTAGTAATGAATCACTTCTCTAGAAACTTAGGAACGCTGGGAGATGTTTTCGTTGTTAAAGTGTTAAAAAGACGGATGCATGGCGAGAAGATAGGTTTTGGTTTCACTTCAACAAATGGACACTAGGGGGTTCTAAAAGAAGGAAAAAACTGCCTAGTCCCCCTTTAACCGGGCAAAACTAATTTACCCAGTTACAACGTTAACAGCAAGTAACTGGTAAACTATGTACAGCCCTACTTCATTCTGAACACCTCTAAATGCCACATGGAGGTATTAATTAAAAATTGTAGTTTTTAATTAAATTGTTCCAAATTCAACTTTTAGTGCTATCAGATTTATCCACCAACAACAATAAAATGGTCATTACTATAATCACAGTTAAAAAAGAGTGACCTGCATTGTAATTTGCTAAAAGCAACAGTTTTAAAACGTTACCCAATTTAAGAACATTTAGATGAAGTATCTGCAGATTTCAATATATAAACAGTATAAATCAAAGAAAAGTCAAATGTAGCAAATGAAACAAACTTCTAAAAAAATGTGACAGGGTTGCATCGCGTAGAAAAGTTAAAAACAAATGGCAGCCCTGTGTGATCAAAATACAACAGGTTAAACAAGCAAAGTAGTAAATACACAAGCACCTGTTCAGACTTGCGACATATCCCATGACGGACTGGTGCTTTTTGCTGGTGTCATGATGGACATCAACTCCAATAACCATCAAGTTTTTCTATTCAAGTGGGGAGAAAAATATATATATATGTATTTTCCAATTTCTATCAAAACTATTAACCAAGTTAAACTGGGCAAAAAAAGGAAACATGTAACATTTAGGGTGACCAGATGTCCCGCTTTGTGTGGGACAGTCCCGCATTGTTATTGCTTTTCACATGTCCCCGCAAACTGAGAATCATGTCCTGCATTATTGACTGTTTCCTGTTTTGAATTTCAATCTTATAGAAGAAACATTGGAAAAATCTGCCTGTTGCTGTCGATCAAACGGGGCCGGGACTTTAAAGCAGATGCGGCGCGTGTGTGGAGCGCACACCCAAACCATGAAAACAAGCGTGAGTGAGCACAGAGGAGAAAATGCTGTAAGCTTGTGAATTAAACGTGTTCAGAGATACTCGACAGAGTCCGTTTCTGAGTCATTCTTTCATGTCTCAGCGCAGAGTCTGATATGAAGAGGTCTAAAGCAGGTTTTCCAGTTATTAGAAAGGTGCATGATAAACCAATGGAGGTTCTAACACAGACACAGTGGCTGTGTCTCAATTCAGGGTCTGCATCCTACGTCGGCCGGATTCGTCGGCCGGTTACGTCACAGCGCCGCGACTAGGCCCGTCCCAATTCGAAGACTCCTTCAAATGCGGTCGACGAATCCGGCCTTCTTTTGGCCTGAATGAAGGATGGGTCGGGTGTATCCTTCAATAGGTAGCATTTCCCAAAATGCCTTACGGGCCGGCCGGCAGAAAAACTTAAAAACAATGGCGGACAGTGAAGCGGGAGCTGTCGGAGAGGATTGTGCATATAAATGTCAGTATAAACTTGAAAACTGTTAGGTTAAGGACTTTTTGTGATACATGAACATTATTTTAGTTAGAAATGTTGCAGTAAAAGTGCTTGTATTGCGGTCTCGGCTCGTATGTTCGGCCGCTCGGTGTCGTACTTCTCCCGCTACGTTTCCCCGATTTTAATAGAAGTTTGTATTTTAGGTACAAGAGAAAACCAGGGAATTTATTAAGCTTAGGGTGGAGATGGACCACATGATCACTGGAGCAAAGTATTCAGCGGCTGTGGCATGGAGGTACAATAACATCTCATATTTTAAAAACTCGTTTCAGTTTATTTTTTCTGCGAAAACATGAAAGGAATAACCCGTTGTCTTCTTTTCTCTTCCTGTTTCTTTTCTTACATGTTTGTTAAGACTATTCTGGAGAAAATGGGCATCCAGGGAAAGGTGACAGCGATGACCAGCTCCTGGAGCTGATCAGGGAGGACATGAGGCTGCAGAGGGAGGCAGAGCAGCAGAGGGCAAGGGAGAGAAGGGAGAACTTTGACAGGCTTTTTACTTTGCTAGAAAAAAATGGTTAAGAAAGATTAAACATGTACATATAAAAGAAATATCTAAATAAAATCAGTTCTGCATTAAACTCTTGAATTTTATTTTGGTTTACAAATGTGAATTGTTTACTAGAGGGTATCCGCTGGGTCTTGAAAAGTCTTAAAAGGTGATAAATCGGTTTTGGTCAAATTAAGACCCTTAGAAAGTATTAAAAACTATTATCACATCTTTGCTCAGGCTCAGCTTGTCGAAAGTATTTTCTCCGAATTAGCTCGCCAACAGTCAAGGAAATGATTAAAGATCTAAATAAAACTTCGAACTCCATCGTTTTAAGTTCCTTCTCCCTTCTGCTCAGCTGTTCCACGGTTGCTAGGCGACGGAACGTTTGCCGAGGGAGAGGCGGGAATTCATGAAGGCTAGGCCTGTCCAAATTCACAGCCGTTAACATCCGGTCTACCCGGCCGACGGAGGACCCAGCCCACGTCGGCGAGGTGGGCTGGGTCCTTCGAAGGATGCAGACCCTGAATTGAGACACAGCCAGTACTGCGATTTCAGATACCTGCATACATGATGAGCCCCTTAAAGCACAGCGAAGAAATAATGAGAATAAATGGAAGCTTTGATCACTTATTCTCAGAAATTTGAGGCAAAAAGTAACTCTAAGAAACTATTATTAGATTAGATCTGAATTTTTTAGAGATTAGAATCTGATGTTTATTTCTCACACTGATGTGTTCTCATGTTAAAAATAACTTTGTTTCTGAATTAAGAAAAAAAAAAGATTTTTCTTCAATGAGATGCTGATTTTAGTGGAAAATTAACTAAAAACTAAGACAAATAGATCTAAAAAATATTACTGGTACTTTTACTGTCAATCTGTTGTGGAAAAGACTCAATGAAAACTCTGAAAAGCTGCTTAAATCTGCATTTTTCTTATTATTGTGGGCCTATCTATTAGGGATGAGTACCTTTGACATCTGAATCTATACAGTACGAATTCCCGGTACCTACGAATCGATACCGGTACTTAACGGTATCAAATTTTGATACTTTTGAGTGTATAATAATTATTTAAATAGCTTTTTGATTAAATACATATTATTTTCCCAATATATAACCATATTTGATCAATATCATGATTAATAACATTCAATTGTTTGTATTTTATCATCATAGTGTTGTACAAAATTCTTCAATATGAAAACCTTTAATAACCGTTTCTAAACGATGCAAAAACAAACCCAGCTCCACGTACTCCTAATCCTCTCCTTTCCCCTCTGGACAAACTGTGTGATGGTGGGTCCTTGTAGTTTTATAAACTGCAAATTAAACAGAAGCAAACATCATTGCTGTGAACTAAATTTACTTTGTATCTTCATTCCTTTTGCTGTTCATTTTCAAACAGTTTATTTTTCCTACTAGGAAGTTGGAACTTCCAAGGAGAAATCGAACGCACCATTAGCAATGTAAACAAAAACTAAACTATCAAACTAACGTCATCTTAAACGGTTTATTTAGCTGCTGGAGCAGATTAAGATGCCTCATACTCAGATCGTTGTCACTGGTTTCATCATCACCCAATAGTCCATCTCATTTAGTGAATGAAGCCAAACTTTAGAGCACCTTCGCATTCTTCAAATCAGAATGTTGGAGTTCCGAGGAGTGAGCAAACGCACCATTAGCTGAATGGAAGCTAACACATCAAGCTAAAGTTATCTTAAACATTTTATTTACCTACCGGGGCAGATTAAGATGATGATGCCTCACTTAGATCGTTGTTGCTGGTTTCATCATCACCAAGTTACCCATCCCATTTAGTGAAGTGGAGCCAAGCTTTAGAATGCTTCCTCTCTACTGTGCTGCTTTGTTTACACCACAGTGACAAGATACGCTCTTGCACCCGGTGTGCGGCACGAGTATCGAAACAAGACACCGTTTCATATTATGTGAATCGGTACTCAGTCGGTACTTTGGAATTTGGTTGGTGCCTTAAAAAGTATTGAATTCGGTACCCATCCCTACCATCTATATTATTAAGATGATCAGAGCAACTACAGAAGGCTCACAGAGCCTGAATTTTGTTGCAGTAACTTGAGAGGAACTGTGAAATAGTAAATTTTTTGCTGTTTGCTTGTTCATGTTGAATTCAAATAAAATTTATACAAGAAATATATGATGATAATAAGAATAATTTTTTGTATATGTAACAGTGATGTTGGGGCAAAAAGGCTGAATATACATTTATTTATTTTATTTTTTCCTCATTACATTGGAACTTCACTTTGTCCCACATTGAGTAGTTTGGCAAGTTGGGATCTGGTCACCCTAATAACATCATCAGTCACATCACATCCAAATCCTTATTAGGTAGTAATCATCTTTAGAGTAACATTCTATTTAGGCATCCAACTCTCACCAGAGGAACACTGACTGTCCACAGTTCTCCTCCTAACTTGCTGTTCACCTGCAGAAGAATTTTTTGGGCAACACTCCTTAACTTCTGCTGCTGAGATATGGTCCGGACATTGATGGCCTAATAATTAGAACCCAAATAACAGTTATTTTGGTACATCCAAACAAAACATTTTTAATCCAGAAACAAATTATGCAAATGGCAATTACTTACCTGGGAGGGGATGGGACTGTTCACACAGCAGAGCTTTTTAATGGCGCTGTAAAGGTCATCTCTGTTGCCAACCATGATGCACACAACAAGCTGCAAGTTGGGCTGCATACAAAAGTTTAAATAAAAATTACTTTTTGCATTTTTAGGTCTCGCTAACGTATGTGGAAAACACCAAATGTTTGTCTAAAAAAATGCAAATAACATTTAGTATATTCAAATGTAAACAGGCAAAACACTTATAAACTAGATAAATTGCATTTCTTGCAGAAATGCTGTTTGAATGCTTAATAGCTGAACTGAAGCTGAAAGTAAGCAAAACTGTCAAAATGAGCTGAATGTGTTGAAAGATGTAGAATCAAAAATCACTAACAAGCAAATAAAGCACAAAAAAGTAAGTGAAGAATAGAGAAAAATAATCCTAAAAAGCAAAAACTGAAATCTGTGAACATTGTATAAAAATCTGGACAGCTAAAGTTATCTAAACACCTGTTATTTCAGTTGGACAAGCTTAACAGTTTAATCTTTACATTTAGCTGAACTGTGAAATTAGCAGCTCATGCTAAATTTGGTAACTGATTGCTGAAGTTGTTGAATAGCTGAAGTGAAGCTGAAACTAAGCTAAACTGTCAAATGAGCTGAATGTAGTGAAAGATGTGAAAGCAAAAAGCACCAACAAGCAAATAAAGCATAAAAAGTAAGTGAAGAATCAAGAAAACTAATCCTGAACAGCTGAAAACTGAAATCTGTGAACATTGTTTAAAAAGCTGGACAGCTAAAATGTCTAAACACCATTTATTTCAGTAGGACTAGTTTAACAGTTTAATTTTTACATTTGGCTGAACTGCGAAATTAACATCATATGCTGAATTCAGAAACTGATTCCTGAAGCTGCTGAATAGCTGAAGTGAAACTGAAACTAAGCTAAACTGCCAAAATGAGCTGAATGTATTTAAAGATTTAGAAGCAAAAATCACCAACAAGTGTAATAAAGCTCAGAATATAGGTGGAGAATGGACAAAAAATGCTAAACTGCAGAAAACTTTGAACATTGATTAAAAACTCGAAATTTGAAATGTTAAACAGCTGGCAATTGAATGAGAATAGTTTAATGGGTACATTTTTACAATTGGCTGAACTGTGAATTTAGAAATTTGTGCTGATATCTGAAAATGATAGCTCAACATATGTTCAGACTTGATATGGGAAGGATGAATGGTTGGATGAATGAAATGACGAATGGATTGTTGGATGGATGTTAAATGGTTTATTGGATGGATGGATGAGTAGAAGCATGTATGGATTTATATGTGGATGGATGGATTCCTTAGGCTAAGCCGATCGATTTGATGTATCGCATGTGTGGGTGTGTAAGTCCATTTAGCCAGAAGATGATTGACCTCTCTCAACCAATCAGGGAGCTGGGAGGGAGCGGGGCACTTTTCCACCTTCTGACGGTCAATCAAATTTTACTTGTTTCTAGTTAAGTACAGATAGTTCAAAAAGATCAAAAACAGGAGTCTGTTAATGCCTCAATATTCAGCTTTTTATATTCATTCCTATGAGACTTGGTTAAAGTGATTTGCAGTTCCTAGGCCCCCACAATGCAGCTCTGAAATAGAGTCAAACCCGGAAGTACCATAAATTGCAGTTCCACCCTCATCCGCTGGGGGCTGGTGTCAGAAACGAGCAAATCCTCATCGACTCCCATGTTAAAAATACCAATTTCACAGCAGAAATAAACATGTTTACAGCCTGGTACCAAAACATGTTTTTTGTTTAAATGATCTAGTTTACACTCATGACAACTCTGAGGGGGGTGAATTTTTTTCTCACTCTTCTGTTTAAGTGTATTAAAAGCCTAAAATTCTGTATAATTAATGAGCATCAGACCCATGTGACCACAAAGCTAGCTCCATGGAAAGGCCTTAGTAGAGCCTCGGTCTGACTTGGAAACTGCTACGGGATTTTGAGTCTCTGTGTGTGTGTATTTTTGTTTGGATATTATTTGTGCAATTGTTGGACTAAATGACTTGCTGTGGCATTAATTGCACTAACAGAGCGTCGAAGGAGTCTCCACTTCATTTTTTTCGGTAAGTAAAATTATATTTATTTATTTTAGGTCACTGCCGAGCTGAGCATAGATTTTAACATGTACTGTTTAACCATGAAATTTAAATGTAATAGGGTAAAACCCAGTGCATTTAACATAATGCTGCACTTTAGAAAATGGGTTGAAATATAACATGTTGGTGGAGCTGGGTTCCGAATATCGGCTTGTGGAGCTCTCGGGAGACCGATGTTTTCCACCCTTATCCCCTCCCCGCAGCCCGGTCCATCTCTGTCTGATCGCGGCTTCTGTTTGCTGCGTGCGGGCTGATGGCAGGTTCTCCCAGCAGCTCAGCGCGTCTGTCTGATCGCGGCTTCTGTTAGCTGCGCGGGCTGACGGCTGGTTATTATGGCAAGCCAGAACCGCTAAAATTTGCCACTTCTCCCCGCAGCTCGGCGCATCTCTGTGATCGCGGCTTGTGTGTGCTGCGCGGGCTGACGGCTTGTGGAGCTCTGGGATGGAAACCTTTCCACCCGGTTCTCCCCAGCGGCAGCTCTGCACATCTCAGATCGCAGCGGCACTTGTCTGCTGTGCGGCTGCCGGCTTGTGGAGGTCTCGGAGACCTCTGTGGAGGTCTCGGAGACCTCTGTGTTCCACCCGGTTTTACCCAGCGGTCAGCCTGGCGTATCTCTGACTCAGAAGCTCTGGTGTTGTGCACAGTTAACTCTGGTTGTAGCTAGGTTGCTACCTCCGTTAGCTTAGCTCCCACCTCCGCATTAGCTTTGGGTTAGCTTCAGGTTAGCTTGTAGCTAGTTCGACCAGGTGTCGTCAGTCGATCCCAGCCTTACAGCCCCACCCTCAGCTCCACCTCTCTTTCTTTTTTTGGAATTGTCTGGGCTTGATGGAACCTGTGACACGGTCAAAATGGCGGTGGTGGCCACCTCCCATTTTAACAGAAAAACTTGTTATTGGAGGCTATGGAAATCCATTGTCCATATATTTATGTCGATGGTAGGTCCTTGTGTTGCCATGGTAACAGATGACAGGAGTCTGCTTTAATAAAGCCATGTACAATGTCACATGACTCTCTTAAACTCTGAATAACATTTCTATATTAAAGTATGTTGATACAGTTGTGTCTAAAATGTTGTTAAATGTTGTTGCTAAGCACGTTCCCAAGGTAACGCAGAACAAAATATCAAGTTAATACAAGACTCCTGGGACCAAGCAGGTTGAATTGATGTATCATATGTGTGGGTGCATATTTCCTTTTAGGCAGAAGACGATTGAAAACTCTCAGCCAATGAGAGAGCAGCGAAGGAGGAGGGGGCGGTTCCTGCCTTCTGACTAGTGTTAAAATGTCAGCTATGCTGCTAGTTTTAAGTGTATAGAGCTCAGAAAGATAAGAAACAGCAGTATGTTATAAGCTCAATATTAGGCTTTTCACATTTATTTCAGTGAGACTTATTCGGGGATATTCTTATGCACTTGTGTTACCATGGTAACAGATAATGCATTTAAAATTTAATACAAGATTCCAGAGACCAAGCTGGTTATTTATATGTGTGGGTACTCGATCCTGCTCGGACAGAAAATGGTTGAACACTCTCAACCAATCAGAGAGCAGCACTGTTTTCCCACCTTTTCCCCCGGCTATAGGAGGCCTGCAGCTGTACTCCTGTTAATGAGAGAAGCCTTTAAATCTGTCCCTCAGAAGTGAAATTGGACCTGTCAAACTTCTCATCACCATTCGATAAGTACTGCACCGATTAGAAAGATTCAAAAAGCGTGAGCGGCAGAAGACTTTGATGGTCATCTGTGTAAATTTTTATGTGCCTACCATGAATTTTCTAGAAGCTATGACGAGAAATTTGTAGCTGTCTGAAGCCGATCGGAGAAAATCTCTGTTCCTTTAACATGGGTTTCAAAGAGACAGAATCAGGGTCTCTCCTCCTTCTGAGGCTTGTAGAGAAAGAATCGTAGCACTTAAGGACAAAATGAAACCCATTCTGAAAAGCTGACAAAAATTCCTACTTTTTGAGATATAATTTGTTTCGGTACTCCAAACGGTCTGGGTGTTGGAAAGAGTTGTTTCCAGAAAATGTGAAGGTCAAAAGTTAAGAGTGTGGAATTTTCAGTTTAGAGTGGTGAGAGACATTTTTAAAATTTTAAATATTCTCAAAGAAATGAACCGTACAACCACAATGTTTGGAATACATTCATGATTTATAGCTCAAAACAAAGGTATATCCGTTAGCTGCAAGCCAGTGTGTGTCTCATTTCAATCGGACTTACGGTTTTCTCAGGACAATGCCAGAAATGGAGCAAAAGAGGGTCATTGCACCTATATCTGCCCATTACAATTTTTGTGATTTTTTTCTGAAAATCTCAAGCCTTACCTCAACTTCTACCTGTGATTTTAGAAAAACTGTAATAGATATCAAAAAGATTTTTTAACCATTAATAGCTGAAAGTCTTGTGAGTTTGGTGAAACTTGAATGAAGTCTCTAGGGTAAAGTTAACCTACAAGAGTAAGAGTTCAAAAAAGTGATAGAATTTAGCTGAAAACTGAGCAATCCCATTAATTTAAATGGGACCAAAAATCGCAGAAAAAGCTGAATATCTCAAAAAGTATAAAATATTTTAATATAAAAAGTCATTGCCGGCATAAGCTGAACGAGCTGAATGTTTTGATACCAAAATTGTGTAAATAGTTGAAGAATTGTGGAAGTAGTTAAATGCCAAAAAACGTATGGAAACAGAATAATAAAGTGACTATAATAAAGAGAAACAGGATCACTATAGTTACAGCGTTCAAACAGTAAAAGTTTTATGAAATGTTTGGAGTTCTGGCTTGTATCATACCTCACTGTTGAGCAGACCATGGATGGTCTTCACGTATGTGTCGGTCCGATCGTCCCGAAGCTCCACTCTGATTGGTCGTTCCAGTTGTACTCCAATAGGCCCAGCTACCTTCTTTAAGGTGGAGACCAGCTCCTCAGTTTGGTCTGCACAACGACGAGGGTAGAATATGGCCCACATGTTCAATGGGACCTAAAAGCAAGATTGATAAATAAATAATAGTTGTCAAAATTACCAGATTAGTCAAATATTCTCTTCAGCCTTCATAGTGTTTCATCGGTAAAGTGGTTGTCCTAAGATCTGAAGGTCATAGGCTCAATCCCCAGTCCCATCAAGCCATGTGCATAAGCATCCTTTGGCAAGATACTGACCTTGAAGTTTGATAATCCTAATAGATGGATGTATATTTTATCACGGGGGACACGCTGTACTGTCCACTTAAGTGAAATGAGAGATAATTATTTATTTATTTACAATATTATTGCTCCAATGTATGATTACGTGTAGGGCTGCACAATATATCGAAAAATTATCATCATCGCGATAACAGGACATGCGATAGGCCCATCGCAAAGCACGTCAAAAACGGCGATAAATGTTTGGTTCAAACATTTCCATACATCAACTTTTTGTAAACCAGCTCTGTTTTTTAAGCGGAAGTATTATTTGGCCAATGAAATGTAGCCCTTCTGATATGCGGCCAATCAGATGGGTCCATTCACGTAATACGCCAGCCCCCTACGTAGACACTTACCCCAAAATTCCACTATCTCAGCTCCGCTCCGCCCCCGCTTTCCGCTGCCGCTCGCTTCCCTTGTTCGTCATGCTGGCTCAGGTTAACGAACGCACTTTGTGCTGAGGTTTCTAGAATCAGCGCTGCTTTCAAACGTGAACGTGACTCCGCTCTGTGTCGTTAAGCAGCTGATAGTAACCGGGCTGACTCCGACACGTGCGGGTGAACCAACCCACCGCTAGCCCCAGGCTCAGGTTAGCTTCCAGCTAAAAGGCTACAGCACTCTCCTCCCAGTCCCACCCTGCTAAAAATGGCCTGGAAAAGTTCCCCCACACATGAAAATGATTTTTCATTTATGAGCTTTTATAACCTTGTTTATCAGGATGGTTGATTTGCTGCTGCACATAAACTGTCAGTCAGAAGCTCTGCTAGCCGGTTATCTTAAGAGGAGCTAGTTCAATTTGTTAGCTTGTTATCAGAATCATAGTTGCAGTTTCATCATCTGAGCTGCTTTTTAAAATCTAGGTAAACTTGTTCAATTTGGGGTTAAAAACAAACATTTTCACATATTTTCCATGTAGTTTTTTTGCCAGTTCCTCTTCTGAAAGGGAGACAATTGTTTTTCTCTTTCCCTCAGAAAATCTTAATATTCTCCTAGTTTGGCCCAGCACAGTTCACTTCCCAATTACAGCAACAGCCTTATATCAGAACCACATAAGTGGAGAAAATGCTCAGTAGCAATGAGAGAATTTGCTGTTGCATTTAAGTGATGTTAACTATTATTTAACATTTAAACTTATTTTCTGATTTTTTTTATTTATTCAAAAAACCCTGGTAAGGGATGTTTTTCTGTATTTGGAGCATCAGAAAAAGTTTTATGGAGAAGGTGATGTTTTAAAGTCACTGAGAAACTGCATGCATGCAGTTTGTTGTTTTGCTGCTAATACAGTAGCAGGTTCAGCTGCTAATACAGTAGCAGGGGCAGCTGCATAGTTTTGCAATAAAAATGGTATGCTGTAATGGAATTCATGCATTAGTTTTTGTTTGCTTTGAACCCAGAGCAGACGTCACACGCCAGACGACACCAACACTGCATACTTTAGTATTTGTTCATTTATCGTGAGTAATATCGATATCGCAATATTAAGCACTGTTGTCGAATATAGCAGCTTTTCCTAATATCGTGTGTTAAATTTACGTTATTTATTTAGTACGAGCATCGCCTTTCAGACAGATCTTGTCTCATCCTGGTACGAGAGCAGCAGCTGAACCCGGTGACACCACCAGTAACAAAAAACTGGTAGGGATTCAGACAATTTTAAAAATCAACTTCGGTGCAAAGTGAACCACTGTTTATAACAATGTTATAAATCAAGCGGGGGTGAAATTTGGCAAAGTTGGAAACTTGTTTACATAGGTGAACAGCCGCAGAGAGAACGTAAGCGAAAGTTTGTAAGCTAGTTAACATACCGCTCTCAATGAGCCACCCATAGGTGCCCTACTTCTTCTGATACAGGGTATCTGCAGGTTTAAGGGAGCCAAATTTAAGACTTTTTAAGACCTTTTTAAGGCCACTTTGACCAAATTTAAGCAGTTTTTTTTAAATTAAATTTAAGCTATAATTTCCAGCTATTGCCTGGAACGTCGCAAACGTGGGATTGGCCATCCAGTTACCATTAAACTTGCACTTTCCCATGGCGCAAGCTCCCACTAGCTTAACCAGCTAATGTACTCTTCTAAAAATAGTCCCCTTTCACTGAATGTGTACGGTTCCGCTTACGCCAACATCGTACACAAAAAATGCTGAACACTAACTAGAAATTCATGAATTTTTTTTAGAAATAAAAGAATCTTGTTTATTGGGTCTTTGGTAATTTAAGACCTTTGGAAACTGTATTTAAGGATTATTTGTCATTTTTAAGGATTTTTAAGGCCTTAAATTTGGAAAAGCAAATTTAAGACTTTTTACGACTTTTTAAGGACCCGCGGATACCCTGTGATAACCGAACTGGGCTTGAACTAGGTGAAAAAGTGCAAAAGAAAGCAAAAAAACTATTTCAGGCTTTACTTTTCCCTTTGTTTACTAATGTACTGTTAACATGCTTTTGCCACCCAATATGGCAGAACCACATGAAGAAAAAAAATTATACGTATAACACTGCTATTTAGCACATTTATGATACTCACAGAGCTGATGGAAAAATCCCTCACAATCTCTCTGGACCAGGACACATCAGCACTAGTTGCAAAGGATGAGGTCTTAAGACTGATAGTTTCAGGAGGCAGTGTCCGGCCTTCAATCTGCAATGGAAAGAAGAGATGTAAAATTATGGTGGTGACTAGAAAGTATCGCTGGATCCCAATGTAGTCAACGAAAAAAACAAACAAAAAAAACACAGACATAACTTGAATCTGACAAAAGTAACAAAATAAAAACTATTAAATTTAACTCATGAAAGTCTGACGTTGCTTTTCAACCATGCTTCAGAATTACACCAAAAATAAATTCATGAGGCAGGCCTTAACAAAAATGATGGTACCCCAAACTTAGCATTTTGTTGCTCAACCTTTAGAGGCAATCACTGCAATTAAATTATTCCTGTAACTGTCAAAGAGACTTCTGCACCTCTCAGCAGGTATTCTGGCCCATTTCTCATGAGCAAACTGCTCCAGTTGCCTCAGGTTTCAAGAGTACCTTTTCCAGGTGGCTCAATAGGACTGAGGTCAGGGCTGACAGAAGGCCACTTTAGAATAGTCCGGTGTTTATTTTAGGGATGCACCGATGGATCAGCATTTGATCCCAATCGGCCGATGGCGCCCCCATCTGTTTTGATCGGAGTTTTCAAAATCGACCAAAGCAGACCGATCAGGTAGGGTTGTCACGGTAACCGGTGTGGCGGTAAACCCCGGTAAAAAAGTTGACAATAATAATAACCATCTTGTTTAAAAAAAACTATTATCTCGGTGGATTACCGTGGCTGCGGTGTAGGCGCGGTGACCCTTACCAGCCACCGTATCATCTGCTGAAGTTGCCGGCGGCACATGCGTGCTTTGTTGTTTACGACCAAAACTTTCTTGAAGCTAAAGCTGAAATAATGGCCAAAGGAGGAGATGGCAGTGGTCAGGAGGACATTTATTATCCCTCAAAGAAGACAAAGTGGGAATTACGGGCATCTTTTGGATATTTGAAGAATGCCGAGGGACAGTTTATAGAAGACGGCTATCCTCTTTGCAACACGTGCAGAAAAAGTGTCTGTGAAAGGCAGCAACGCTTCAAGTCTCATGACACATCTGTGTGACCATCACCCACAACTCTACAGTCAACGCAAGGCAAGCTAATGTTAGCGTTTTAGCTAAAAAGCATGATCCAAGGATTTGGGTTGAGGGAGAATGCAACGAGTCGCTATATAAAGCAGCCGCAGCGCCGCTACCTGCATATAAACAGTGTCGCGGACACCCCCATGTTGAAATGACGTTTTGCATTACGGGGCTCCCAGGGGCAGATAAGAGTTGGTCTCTCTCAGAGAATCATTGTGAATTTAACAATGATTACTGCCTGATGACATTTTCCCACATCTGCAAAGCTCACTGGAAGGACACAAACCGAGGACAATATTTTCCTGATATAGGGTTTATTACTCAAGTAAGGGTAAAAAAGTATCTGATTAGAAGGCTACTTGAGTACTGAGTATCATCTGATCTAATATTTTTAAAATGATGACATCAAACAGACATAAAATAAGAAGTTATGGGCAAATATTGGTATTTTAAACACTAAAGGGAAAAATGTAAACAAATAAACAACATAATCAAAAAATAACACATTTTAGGCAAAATTTAGACACAAACTGAGGACAATATTTCCTGACATACAGGGTTTATTTAATTGTGTGAAAATGTAGCACATTAAAAAAAGTATCGCGATAATACCGAAAACCGTGGTAATTTTGGTCACAATAACCGTGAGGTAAAATTTTCACACCGTGACAACCCTAATACAGACCATTTTAGATTAGGTTACATTTCCTTTATTCCCAGATTATGTAGTTTGTAGCACTCATTACAATGTTGAAGAAAATTTCTGGCCAATCCACGTGATCAGCATTCTTTGATATCGGTGATCGGCAGCAAAAAACCTTTTCGGTGCATCCCTAGTTTTTTTTCTTGTCCATTTCTGTGTGTTTGTAGCTATGTTTTGGGTCATTGTTCAGTTGCAAGACCCATGACCTGCGACTGAGACCAAGCTTTCAGACACCGGCCAGCACATTTCTCTCTAGAATCCATTGACAGTCTTGATTGTACCCTGCACTAGGGCTGCAACAAACGATTATTTGGATAATCGATTAATCGGATGGGGTCTCGACACGATTAATCGATTAATCGGATTACATGGGGAAATTTTTAAAAACTGCTAGGGAAACGTTATTTCTCTCCTTCCTTCACTTTATTTAACACAACATTATTAGAAAACAGTTCAATAGCAGAAAAACAACATGCCATCACCTAAATTGTCTTATAAGGTGTATAGACAGAGACCCTAAGCTACATCTATCTGTGACCTAAAATGCTTGGTCCAAGTTAAACAGCTTAAGGGCAATTCTCATCTGTTTTGTTTGATCTCATCTGTTGACATTTATTTTAAATGTAATTAAACATAGGCTGTGAATTTATCAAAATTGATCACTATTTCCAAAAATGACTGAAAAAATACCAAATAAAACAAAAGTAAATGAATGCCATCCTCCTTGCGATGATGCCCTGGGCAACTGCCATAAAGTCACATCAAGAAATGCTGCTGATCATTCCAATGATCCCAAATAGACTCACATTAGGCCACATGAAAGCAACTGAACCCAAAAATATATTAGCCAGTATATAACTGCACTCTCACACAACACGCCTGCAGCAACAGTTAGGACTCCTCCCTCCCTTTTAAAAGCGTTTTTGCTTCTGAGGACATTGTGGTTGTAAAACCACATGCTAGTAGTCTGGCCCCGGTGTGATCAACCAGTTTCTGCGGGAATGTGACGGCGGAACCAGGGCCAGATTAACACTTTGTTGTACCCTGGGCAACAATATTCAAGGGCTCCATCATCACGACCCAAGGATCACCATAATGTGGTCACATACAGAATATTTTACTGTAATATGCAGTAAATATACTCAATACTTGAATGCCTGACAACACGTAACCCGCCCAGAGTAACCTTTGACCCACCTCGTGTGGACTGACCAATGAGGAGAGGGTCTTAACTTGAGGCCCTCTCTTCATTGGTCAGTCTGCATGAGACTGACTCTCAACTGACGTTCAGTCGTAGGCAGCGAAGCGTCTCTGTGCAGTGCAAAAGCCCGGGTGGACAGTTTGTTTAATGTAGGGTGACCATATTTCCATTTCCAAACAAGAGGACAGGGGATCTGTGCCTATGACGTCACACTATGGCAACGCCACACAAACCATGTTGGGACCCATTTTTTGTAAGAACTAAATTAATATCAGATTCTGCCAATTAAAGGGCTCTAAAACAATTCATATGTAAATATTTTGCATATTTAATGCAAAATCTAATTTTTCTGCTTTAGTGTTGCAACAAGGTTTTATTAATAATAAATTACTACCTTTTGTTTTACTACAGCATCGGTAAGCTTCCTGTGCACAGATTATTAAGGATGCTTGTTTCAACTGTGAGATTAGACGATAGGATCAATGAAAAAATAAGTTGTCACACACTCCATGGAAACTTTCAGAGAATCCACAAATAGTGGCTTTCAAATGGTTTTGTTACTTTTTGCAAGTTTATAAAATAAGCAGATGAGACAGCATGTCTGATAATTTAGTTTTTCATCTGATAATATTAGAGCATGTCAGTAATGTCTGAGGGGCTTTTATAAACACTGTATAACTAACACTACTGGAGAGGGCATGAATTACACAGAGGCTTCTGGGGAGCCCAGTTATTGGGGGGGGGGGGGGGGGGGGGGGGGGGCATTTTGCCTTGGCCCCCAAAATGTCTTGAAACGGCCCTGGGTGTGTGACTGAGTTTTGAAGGTGATCTGAATTGTATCAGATGTATAAATATGACATGTGTATAACTTATTGTTTTTTACTGGTAAAAACGTGTAGTGGAGATAAATCTACCTACATTTTACTTTTCAACACTTTGTTTTGTTTTCTTGTTTTTATTGAACTATTTTCCTGTCCTGTCTGTCTCTCATCTTCCTGCATCTCCTCTTAATTCTCCAGAAAATCTGTTGCCTGGATTCTTACCTTTTCACCTCATCAGTTACTTTTGAGCAGGTCAAAGGGATCTCCTGACCGCAAAGCGCAGAGCGCGTTTTCGATGCTGCGTGAGGTGAAATCACCGCAGCACAGGTGATGAGCTCCGCAGTAGCGCGCTTCAGGCACAAATAAGACAGAAAATAGAGAACATGTGCGGACATGAACGATCGTGTGCTAATTATAGTTTTTTGGTTGCGCCACTTTGAGAATGGACCGTGCGCTGGAAGCAGCTGCCTGGATCGCTGTGCAACAATGCGGAACCGGTTCGCAGCAGCTCAAGTCTGCCGGCTCTCCCTCGCGCTGATCTGCCTGTACCGGCTCTCCCTCACGCTGATCTGCGGCTCTCCCTCGCGCTGATCTGCGGCTCTCCCTCGCGCTGATCTGCGGCTCTCCCTCGCGCTGATCTGCCGGCTCTCCCTCGCGCTGATCTGCGGCTCTCCCTCGCGCTGATCTGCGGCTCTCCCTCGCGCTGATCTGCGGCTCTCCCTCGCGCTGATGACTTGCTCTGGTCTGCGCGCAACGGCGGGCGGGAAGGGGGGGCGCTTTTGGAAGAGTTGTGCGACACAACGAATCGATGACGCAATTCGTTGCCAACGCTTTTAGTAATCGATTTTCATCGAATTTATCGATTCGTTGTTGCAGCCCTACCCTGCACAGACTGAAGACACGCTGTGCCAGATGCAGCAAAACAGTCCCAGAACATAACAGAGCCTTCTCCACGTTTCAAAATAGTGACAGATTTGATTTCTAGACAGGCATACGTTTTCTGTCTCTGAGCATAGAGATGGTGTGCCTTGGCAAAAAGTTCCATTGTTGTCATATGTGCTCATAGGACATTTTCCCAGAAGCTTTGTGGCTTGTCAACGTCAGTGTTGGAAACAATACTTTAAAAAAGCAATTAGTTATAGTAACTCCTAGAAGGGTACAGCTGCAAACCCACAGAAAACACAAGAGCAGCAAAAGATGAAGCAGAAAGCACCATAAAGAAATCAGCCGTAACAGTTCACTGCATAAGAGAAAACCATATAATGGACTGGGACAACACAAGGATCATAAACACCGAACAACAAAAATACAAAAGATAGATAAAAGAAGCTATCGAGATAAGGAGACGTGGATGTGGGACCATGAACAGGGACGATGGAGTTTACACGATGGACCGCGCATGGGACTGCATCGTCGGAGAGGGGAGAGCGGGCAGCAGAGGGTGACAACATCCTCTGCTGCCCGCTGATAAACGGAGAAGGAAGTGATGCTACCATCAGCGTCAGCTTGAGGAAATTTGCAGCCGCAAACGAAACGTAGCAGGAAAACAGGTTAACAGAACTGCTCTGTGTTTTAAAAAAGAACTACAACATGGAATTAGAGAAACGACAAAGCAAGAACACACCTAAGACTGTGCGTTATTATCGTGTGATTATTCAGTAAAACAATGTTTATTTTATATTTCCACATCAGGTTGATGCAGTGACAGCTTGCTCTAGTTGTATTGTTGTGTGTCCCTTTTTTTTAGTTTATTTTTCTCTTTTTGCAGGTCTAGAAGTAAACTCTTGTTGATCATTGATTGTTTATTTTTGCTTTTATCTTTTCCTTTTTAAATGAATTAAATAAAAACATACATTTATTTGTAAAAACTGCCATTGGTCAAGGACATGTATGTATTTTGTTAATAAATATGTCTGAAACAATTTTTTACTTCATCCTTGCTTCAGCGTAATAGCTTAATGTTTTGATGTCATTTTCTGTCTGGTTTGTAAATGTTACTGTACGTTATATTATGCTCAAGTTTGGTTTGAAGAAAATCATGGATAACATTAAAATCAAAATTTCAGCCAGAAAATTCAATTATAATAATTTCAAGTCACAATAAAAGTAGGTAATTTTGTTAAGTTTTTTTCTTTATGGTAAATAAAAATGCGTACCGTCAGGATTTTTGAGTCCATCTCCAATCCCCATCGGTCAAGCTCCTTCAAACTCTCAGGACTGCTAGCAATGTTCTTCAGAAGTTGCATGATGGAGTGGGTGTGCTGTGCACAGCTTACATTGATGTGCATGGTCAAGTCCTGTAATATATCAAAAAGTCATTTTTCACCAACATTCAAGCCATGTTACAGCCCGAATATTATTAGAAAATGTATAAATGCATATGCAAAGTGAATACAATATTATCTTCACGTTAAATTTGGTCACTGAAAGGCAGTTGACATGCATTGTTATAAATGAAAAGCTAATTCAAAAAAGTTCAATTAGAAAGTCAAACTGAACTAAATCTAAGCCCATTAACGATAGAAGAGATTTCACATCACATAACTGCCCACCAGGTGGCCATCTTCAGCAAGAGAAAAAAAAAGAAAAGAAAAGAAAAAAACATGAAGTTAGTGCGGGTTAATCAAACATACTTTCATTGCTTTGAAGTCCTTCTTCATTTTCTCAGGAATTCCTGTCATGAAGGTAAGCTCTGGAACCAGGAGAATCTCTCCAGTGATGATTTGCTACAAAAACAGGCGTTGGATGAAACACAGCCAGTGAGTAAGATTAAACCCATTAAAGCACAGGGTTTCCTCCAGAAAATGAGTTTAGCCTGGCCACACCGGCATCAGGCGAGGGGGGGGGTGGGGTGGGGTGGGGGTGGGGGTGGGGGGGGGGTCACGCTCTGTCCCGCAGCACTCCTCTGCTAGAGTGGGGGGTGTTGCACACCTTCCGCTGTTTCTCACCAGTATCAGCTGATGGAGGGCTCTAGTTTCAGTGCGCCTTTCATGTCAGCGGACACGGCAGGGTCAGGGAGGGGGCGGGGCATGACACTTAGCCTGGCGGGTGGGCAAGCAAAGCCTGGCAGGCCGCCAGGCTTATAAAGCACTGGGGGAAACCCTGAAGCAGCTTTCCAGTTTTCTCCTTTCAGAAATTATGTATGATTTGTCAGAAACCCGTCAAAATGATTTTCTTATCATGTACTGTGATAATGTAATGTAAGCAATACATCTTTTTTTTGCCAAGCACGCCCCCTGCCCCGCAGAGCACCATGCAATAGGAAACTGAGCGCTGACCAGAACTAACCAATAGCGTTAGACTACCGCTTACTTGCTTCAAATTTAAGGAATACCTCTGCTGATGCAGAGTTGATTAACTTTTCACGGACAAGTAAGCCTCTAAAATACAAAGATATGACAACGCAACATAACATGAGAATAATACTCATAAAACGAGTTTCAGCTCTGTTTGTTGGCTACAGAAGCACATTTATAAACAGAAACTTGAAGACGCCATCTTAAAAAAGAGAAGGGAGTGTGAAATGCTTGTCAGCCACTAGATGGTGCCATCGAATAAGAGAAATACTCCAGAAAGAAGCTTTAAATAATGACTCAATTCAATGCTTTGATCCACTCATGAACCACATTTCATATAGACATTAGGGTTGCAAGGATTAACCGGTTTGAATATTAACCACGTTGTGAAAACCTGCGGTTACCCCACAATAAAGATGTCTCCAACAAAGCAATAAATAAATAAATAAATAAAACAATAATTTGTGAAGCAAAAGCAAAAGTGAACAAACGCACGCAGCAGATTAGAACCAGTGTCAACAACCACCGGGACTGCTCCGTTTCCACCTAGGTAGTGCTTCAAATCTCCTGTGAGGGAATATTTTAGACTCCCAAAGCTGCTAAAAGAGAAATTCTGAATGGCGGCTCGTCAATCTGCTGAGCTGGCAGAAAAAAAAAGTTGCGACACTCCCAATTCTCTCAGATTATCACACATGAATTCATTCTACAAAGTTGAAGTTGAGAGAAACTTCCTCAGAGCAGAGATGGAAGCCGGTAACTGAGGCAAATGTTTCACATAAAAACACAATATGGCTGGTAATATGCTTGAGTGGCTGTTACAAATTTTTCTTTCCCAACAACTGTGGCTGGTAGAGAAAATTTTTAATTTCCACCCCGGCTCCATGGTAACAACAAATAAGAGTTGTTGAAGTTGCAACTAATGCAGATGCACCTGGCTCTGTTTAGTGTAAACAACAAATAAACCTGTTATTATTTAACCATGGTTAGTGGGCAGGGCTGTACGTTGACATTTTTAGTTTATAGCACTAGGTCAGAGGGTTTGTAGCACAGAACAAAAAGTTGTTGCACCAGCATAAAAAACTTGTTACAATCTCTAAAAACCAAAAGTAGCTATTACAATTACTTAAACACACTGACAAACACCAGTAGTGCATATAATTAAAACAACCACCAAAGCAGATTCCTGGTAGCGCGAGTCTAACCACTTGACAATAAAGCTGATTCTGAAATATCTTCAGTCTTGTCAGTGTAATTTCGAAAATAACTTTTTATTTATTAAAATTAGTGTAGATTTACTGATAAATGTCCATCCTCCACAGCATAGACATAGAAGAGTAGACACCACGCTGATCGCTACTGTGTATGATAGTCACATTTTTGTGTCCTACTTTTTATAAACTGCATGGTTAACAGTAGTGCTGCTCAATTAATCGAATTTTAATCACAATTACGATCTGAGTTTTGAACAATTATACAAACAAAACAAGCCGATTATTTGCTCCTCCCACTTGCGCTGCCCTGAGTTGCAAATGAAGCGCTCCTCCCACAGTGTTGCCAACTTGGCGACTTCAACGCTATTTCTAACAGCTTTTCAGACCCCCTTCTTGATTTTTTAAATCTTAAAAGTACCTAGCGAACACCTCAGAAACATCTCTGGTAACCCTTAGCTACTTTCTGGATAACTGTCGTTGACATTTCCTGCAGGTTAGCTAAACACTCCGCCTGCGCTCCGGACTGTTCTTCAGGACATTAGGAAAGGGAATGATGTAGTGATGTGTCAGTCGCTAAAGACAAGGCTCCCAGAGTCGGCTCCTTGTTGGAGTAACCAGAGTGAGTGACACACACTGGACCTGCGGGCTCCTGAGCCGCAAAAAACGGCAAAATGTGCGCGTGCGGCGCGCTAAACACACATGCAGCTTGCCCCTGATTGCTGTGGGGCCGGGTTGGGGGTGAGGGTGCAGCTGTGGTTGGGAAAATGACCGTAAATCCTCTAATATTGGCCTGTATTCAATTAACAGCCGGGTCTCATATTTTGGCCGGTGTCTGAGTCGGCAGAGGTGAATAATGGCCAGTATTTTATTGTGGCCGGGTGGAATGTGGTAACAAGCAAGTACGGGGGGCGGTTGTGTCATCCGTCTCACTTTTGATTTGCCAGTGATAGACCGCGAGGGTAACTTTAACCGCGGAGACGAAAATTTGATATCAAGTTCAAAGAGAACGTGCGGATTATGCTGCAGAACACTGGGGAGCAGTAGCAGGGGTTGTATGAACTAGTCGACTTCACTATAGTGACTTTTTATGCCTGTCATCGACTAGTCGCTGTCACGTGATAATGACCGACAAGAAGCAGCCCTCAGAAAAGACAGCAGCGTGCTGTCAGCAGGTGACATGCTCCTGCGCGTCGGGGGGGCCATTACTGACACGCGATCGTTCATGTCAGCTCATTTCCTTTAATGTTTTCTGTCTTTTATTTGTGCCTGATGCGTTTCGCTGCTGTGGAGTGGGGCGCATCACCTTGTCCTCCGACGCACCGATCACTGATGCGGCCGGCAAGCAGCGAGCACTCCGCTGTTTTTGTGGTCGGTAGATCTTTTAGAACTGCAGTTCAAATATAACTCATAAGGTATGCAGGTTAGCTAAACACTCTGCCTACCCAATAGGTAACTCATATATGAACCCAGGTAGCAGTTTTTCTTTAGGATTGAGAGGAGATGCAGGAAGATAATAAACAGAGACAGGACAGAAAAATGGTCAAATAAAAACAAGTTATTTTTGTACCTGGTGGTTGCAACAAACAGACACCATTGAAGGTAATCAAAAGTGAGGAACAGAAAATGAAATAATTATTTTAATGTTTAGAGCAGCAGGAACTCAGAGGCTGCAGGCGCATCAGAGAGTATGCAGCCGCTGCGCAGGGGGAGGGGGGAGAGGGCTGAAGCAAGATGCAGAAACTACAGTTGTTAAAAAGAGACGTGTTTAACTTAGAAAATGTGGATGCAATTTTAATTGTCAGAAACTCCAGCGAACCAACCAACTCCCAACCAACTGGAACCCCCCAGGGTTTTGTTCTGAGCCCCCTGCTGTACTCTTTGTACATCCACGACAGCGTGGCCACTACCAACTCCACTGCCATCATCAAGTTTGCTGACAACACTGTTGTGGTGGGTCTGATCACCAACAATGATGAGTCGGCCTACCTGGAGGAGATTGGAAATCTGGAGAACTGGAGCCAGAAGAACAATCTCCTCCTGAATGTCAGCAAGATATGAGCCAATTGTGGACTTTAGTACAAAGTAGGGCTGAAACGATTCCTCAAGTACCTCGAATAACTCGAGTAAAAAAAAGCCTAGAGTCAAATTCTCTGCTTCGAGGCTGCGTTTAATTCATGGTTAATTAATTCATGGCTTTGCAATTGCCCGGGGTCATGTTTCACCCGGACCGAAATAAGTGACGCACATACACACTGCACTGAATGCACAAGCGAATATAACATCCATATGTAAATGTCACTTCTGCGAGCGGACTAAGAGGTCCGCTATATATTCTGCGGACACTGTGTGACTTTTTCGTTTGTAGCACTCAGTTCCAGCTCACACTGTGCATCTTGTAGCAACACATTGGACCTAAAATTGTGCTAAAAATAGCAGTTTTTACACAACGGACTTTTTATTGTGTTGTTATTGATGTCTGTTGTCCTACGGGTACACAGGTATTTTTGAGTGGCGGTGGAAAACGAAAGAAAGTAAAAAAATGTTTTGTGATCAGTATAATTTGACATAACCACGGCAAACATGCTTTCTCGACAATCCTTGTAATTGTGTGAGAAAAAAAAAGTGTAAAAATTAAAACGGACGTGTGTTAATAGGGAAATAGCTGGTGAGCCATGTTTGCGCATGCGCCGTGAGCGGTTCTGGTGCTGGTAGATTCTAGCGCGAGGGGGAAATCGGCTCAGGTTGTATACTTATTTTTTGCACAGGCATTTGTTCACTGTGTAATAAAGTTGAAGTGTGTAATAAAGTTGAAGTGCTGAAGTTTTGAAAACTAATTTTGAATAAAACTTCAAGAATAACTGGCAATTGATTGCTCATTTTAAGAGGCCTTTTATATTTTGTAACATGCTATTTTATATAATGGTTTACAAACAGAAAAGGGTAATTTATTAGAGTACTCGATTAAACGATAAATGGTTCGATAGAGTACTCGATTACAAAAATATTCGATAGCTGCAGCCCTAGTACAAAGCAGGAGAGGAACTACCTGACCCCCGTCATCAACAGGAGCCCAGTGGAGAGAGTGGACAGCTTCCGATACCTCGGTGTTCACATCACACAGGACCTGTCATGGTCCTGTCACGTCAACACCATGGAGAAAAAGGTCAGACAGCATCTCTACCATCTCAGATGCTTGAGAGACTTCAGAATGCCCTCTAGGGTGCTCAGGAATTTCTGCTCCTGCACCATAGAGCATCCTTGCTCTCACTTGTAAGTTGCTTTGGACAAAAGCATCTGCTAAATACATAATCATAAACATCCTGACGGGAAACATCACGACCTTGTTTGGAAACAGCACCATGCAGGACAGACGAGCTCTACAGAGGGTGGTGCCATCAGCTGAGTGCATCATCTGCACTGAGCTTCCTGACCTGCACTTAATCTACAGCAAGCTGTGCTGGACCAGAGCCAGGAAGATCATGAAGGACCTCAGCCATCCCAACAATGGACTGTTCTCTTTGTTGGGGTCTGGGAAGCGAATCCGCACCCTGAAGGCCAACAAAGGCCCTGTCCACACATAGCCGGGGATCTGCCAAAACGTAGATATTTTCCTACGTTTTGGCGGCCTGTCATCCACACGAAAACGGAGTTTTTTCACACGAAAACGGATCTTTTTAAAAACTCCGGCCAAAGTGAAGATCTGCGTTTTCTCCGTTTTGGGTGTCTGCGTGTGGACGGACAAAACCGGAGTTTTAAGGTCCGCAGCGTCACTTTCCGCGACAAAAAAATGCTGACATCACGTGTGCGACCTGTGTTTACACTAGCCGGCATCACGGAAGCCTTCAGAGCTGCGCTCTGTCACTACCCGATCCATCAATTGTCCAAGCGCTTTCTGCTTGTTTGTTTTTGCAAGAGGAATTACTGCTCCTTGCGGAAGACCACAGACGAAGGACGAGGTTAAGAACGGGGGAAGTACTGCCGCCTACAGGTCTGGCATGTCCTTAACAACGTATTTATCCGGGTACGTGTGGACAGAGTCTGTTTTTAAAACGCGGTGGTGTGGATGCAAGTTTTTGGAGGGGCGGATATTCGTTTTAAAAAAACCCCGGCTACGTGTGGACTAGGCCAAAGAGAGACTGAGGAGGAGCTTCTTCCCACAGGTGATAAGGTCTCTCAATCCCACCACCACACAGGACTAATAATATCCTTTTAAACTTCCAACGTTGACATTGACTGGACAATCATGGACACATTCATACACACTTGCACGATATATTTATATATCTGGACCATTGCATAAGACACTTAAATAAGTCACTTTTTATGCATATTTGCACAACCACTGTCACTTTCAAATTTTATGTATATCAAACTTTTTCTTCTATAGTTCTATATTTTGTAATAACCATGCCTTTATTTGTAAAGTTTATTTTACTAGTTTAATTCATTTTCTTTATTATTTCTCTTTTATTTTAGGTCACTGGGGGTCGTATAAGAATTTCACTGCATTTCGTACTGTGTATGACTATGTATGTGACAAATAAAATTTTAATTTGAATGTTAAGTGAGTATCAAAAGCTAATGCAGCAGATAGAAGACTATTTTCATAAATTTTTCTGTTATAGTTTTTACATGTCAGATTTGTTAAGTGTTCTCAACAGCAAACTTATAAACATTTAAGATGAGAAAACCAATAAAGTCCCTAAAGATAATAATTATGGAACAATTTAGCATCTTGTGGAGTGATGAACCCATAAATTCTTTTTTGTTTTGTTTTCTTAAGTTGAGTGTGAAAACATCCCAGGATGACTGCCCCAGATCTGATGAATGTTGTTACTGCAGAAAGGATATTTCCAGCCAAAAGGTTTACAAAAAGATCTTGGCTTCCTTTCATCTATGCTGCAAACTCATTTGTCTAAGTAGCTAGTGGCCAACAGGTGGCAGTATTAGTCTGTGACAAGAATTAGCGTACATCAGCCAAGTAGGGTTTACTTTGAAATTATTTTTGAGACTTTTACATTATGAATAGAGGTTCTTACCCTCCCTCCTTGGTTGGACCTTTCTTTTGGGTGGTGCACAAGTAAAGGTTGGGTCATTTCTTTGATAGTGATGCCATAGTTCTTGCTGTAGGACCAAAACAATGCAACAATTTACACTTACACAAAAAAACCTATCGAAGGCTAGCTACTACTGACATTTACATTGCTAATCTGACAAAAAAAACTACCGTTATTTAAACCCACTTGCTCACTTTTGGTGAGTTCAGACACTGTGTACAAGACTCACCTGTAGTAGCTCATAAAGGTGGTTTTGGTACCATCCATCAAGGTGAATGTGTCCTTAGGAGATTTATTCCAGTCAATGGCATCAATGCGATATGTGCGGTTGTTGTAGCGGGTGATAACAATGCTGCCAACAAATTCTTTGGTGCATTCATCTTGAAAGTTCTCCTTGCTCTGTTGGTAAAGGTTGTTCCTGCAGCAGATTGGAGTATAAAGTCAGTTTCTGTTGTGGAGCTGCAGAGCATTCACTTACTTACATTGATCAGTATCATTTATATGAAAAAAGATATGGTCCTAAAATTTAAACACTAAAACCTCAATTTTGTTATTGTGTTTTCTTTAAACAGGATACGAAAAGTTGTAGTCAGGACAAACCAAATATGTTTCAAAGTTACGTCTCACAAATATTCCTGTACGCTTAAGGAAAAGTCTGGAGCTTGGGAAGAAGAGATTCTTCGGTGGAGTCTGCGATTTCTAAATGAGTTTAAAATAAAATTTTTACAAGCAAATATCAAATTACATGACAATCTATACTAGGGTTGCAGCAATTAATCTGACTATTAACATAAATATCCTGTTAAAACTTCTACAAGAATCTTTTTTGTCTTTTTACAGATTCAAAACAGGCTAACAGACTAATCTAATTAAGGATATTTTAAAAGTTTTATACTGTAATTTAAAAATATCAGATCATTTTGATTTAGCAAATTCATTTGTTCTGAAAAGCAGCAATAAATATCTAATGAAGTTCAAAACCTTCATAGAATGTGTGTGATTTCTATATGTTAGTACAGATGGGAAAACAAGTCAAGAAAATTATTTCCTTGCCTACAATCGTACCACCAAAACATCTAATCGTCGCAACCCTAGTTTAAAATCACAATTATTTTTTATTTAAATTGAGGTACAATATATGTGTGATTTGGGGTGTAAGGCAAAGTGGACCAGAAAAAAGCCTTTATAGCCCCATTCACTTACATTCATTTAGGCTCCCTATTACAATTGAGAACAAAAATGATTCTCTAAAACAGACAAGTACAAGCAGAAAGCTTTTCTTTAGAAAACAAAACCTGACATGTATTTTCATTGGCCAATAGCGTCTTTGTTGTATAGTTGGTTAATTTTTGAATACATTCCCACACCAAACGAACATGAAATATAAAACAAAAAACAAAATTTCCTGTCAGTTTTAATAAAATTATCTAACTTTCATTGTAATTTCCATGTAAACTCACATGACATTCAGCACAGAGTCATTACGAAGAACTTTGTGAGACACATCCACGGACAGGTACAGACCTCCATCTGTACGCTTGATGCTGGTTGAATAACCTGGCCACACTTGAAGTCTACAAACCACAGAAATAACAAAACTGAGCAGCAATAACAATTACAAAATTCTGATTATAAAGTTGAAACAGGAAAAATTACAATATGGTGCTAAAGTTTATTTATTTCAGTAATAGACTGAGAAACCATTTAAAGGCTCAGGAATCCTTTGCAGGTGTTTAGGATTCATTATCTGATAAGTGTGTAACACTGAGTCTACAATAATGAACCTTTTCACAATATTGTAATTGTCTGAGACTTTGAATTTGAGGTTTCATGAGCTGTAAGCCATAATCATCACAATTACAACAAATTAAGGCCAATTACTGACATAAATTAACTTTTGCATTATATACAAATTTTCGAATTCCACTTGCATTTAACAAAAACAGTACTGACCGATGTTTATCAATGACGACGGCGCTTTCTGGATCATAATGATTTCGTCCCACCAGCTTCAGTCCAAGTATTTTCATTACCCTTAAAAACAAGAACAGGAGTCATTTTCTGTCATTTAATAATCTTTACGATACAAAGAGTGCTTCTCAATGTCAAGGAACCTCGCCTTAATGTCTTGGTCCCGCCCCGGTTGCCTAGGAGATACGTCATCAGGAACCGCCAAAAGCATGTTCCAATGTTTTTGGTCTGTCCTTTGTTTTCCTGTCATTAAGCTAACATTGGAGGTGTTTTGTTGCCTTCTCTCAAAACATTTCCCAGAATACAGCGCAGTATTTTCAAAAGGATAGCTGATCAGGAGCTGGCAGCTACTCTGGGGGCAAATTTCCAGTTTAAATGTAAGTCCACTAATTGTAGCCATCATGTGGATATCTAAAAAGTTTTGTTTAGACCCAAAGCAGTTGATTAGTTGCTTAGTAGTTTCAGCTTTGGTAGCTAGCAGGAACTAAAATGCTTACATATTTAATTTTATCAATATATACACAATACAAAAAATAAAAGGCTCATTATACATTTATATTGAAACTTATACACTGAAAATATAACTTTACCGTAAATGTCACGTGACGTGACCGCCGTGGAAGCTGAGGTAAGCCTATTCCATTTAACCATTTTTTTTTTTTTTTTTACCAAGGAAGGACAGTGTCCTCATAAGAAAGGCGCCTGGCCTACAAACGCACTGCCTTGGTAGACAAGACACCTTGACATTGAGAAATACCCCAAATCTTATAAGAACCAGTAGAGGGAGTCATTTTCTCTACTATCATAATGTTTGCGCAGGTTGGAGGAGTTTGATAGCCTGGCCTGCCTGACTCGTCCTCTGTTGAATTCTGCACAGAGAAAGCGACTGGTAACTCACAGGTAGAGAGCCACATGAGGGGCGGGACTAGGCAGCTCAAAAGTAACCAATCAGAAAAAAGACGGAAATGCTGACTGTACCGCGCGACGATGTAGTTTTCTAGCTGTAGCAAAAAATAAAAAATAAAATAAAATACAAAAACGCATCTGGCAATGGCGCAAACATCTTTTTTTTTTAGAAGAAATGCTTTTAGCGCTTCTACTTGTTGTGGTTTTAAAGACATTTGGGTCATTTAGAACAGAGGAAAGAGCCGCAGTGAACTCCACCACTGTCTTCGTTGTTTATGAGAAACTGAGCGTCTCTGTGTGTGACATCTGCGACGCTGTAGTTTTAGCTGTAGTCAAAAATAGTCTGGTGACAGCGCAAACATCTTTCTTTAGAAACAAGGCTTTTGGCGTTTCTACTTGTTGTGGTTTTAAAGGCGTGTCCAAGTAATTTGGACCAGAGGAAAGAGCAGCAGCAAACTCCGCTTCAGTCGCCATGTTCGACAAACTCTGCGTTATGGTATGTGACGTGCGCTACTCAGCGCTGATTGGCTTGGTTAGAATTCTCACAGGGTGGGGTTATTTGAATAAGAGAGTTTCCAGACCCTTTCTCTGTGCAGAATTAAACAAGAGGAGTCTGGCAGGCCAGGCGAGGAGTTTGAAGGTAAGATTTGATTCATTCTGCTGGGTTTCTTCTATAGGGCAGCTTTTTTTAACTGACAAATGAATCTGGACTTGCTTTGATCTTAAACTAAACATTGTTACTTTCAGCTGAAGTGAATTGGTGCAATACTAAAAAAACAGTCATCACAGATACACACGTACACAAAGATGCCACTTTGCAAAAAGGTATTTGAGGAATACCTTCTGAGCACCACGTTGTAGAAAGGAATGCAAAGATCTGAGGTGGGCGGCAAAATCTTTGTCAACTGGATTTTGATTTCTATTTCCTCATTATCGGTCCGTCTCAAACTCTTGAGCACAACCTCCTGCATGTCATGAAAAAGTTACAATAAAACACATTTTGAAGATTTTGATCATTTTAGTCAGCATCAAAATGATTGTGAAACTCACATCACTCATTTTAACTGGTAGGTAGAGTATGGAACCATCAAAAGCCACCACTTCCCCGGTGGTTGGACGATGATCTTTCAGCATTCCAAAACGCATCGCCATTGATTCAACATTTGGACTTATAAGGTGGAGATAAAACACACACACACAAAAAAACTCAAATAAAAAGGAGCATCAGTCACTTTTTTTCTCCTTCGTTTTTACATAGAAACTACATTTGAAACTGTTTTAAACGGAAGCAACACTAATGTAACAATACTTACATGAATGTTACATGGTACTGGTACACAGCGTCATTCTTGCACTGAACTGCGATGTGATTTGACCCTATGGAGATGGGGGTTCCTTTGCTCCCAGCTTTATTAAGTGGTACACTAAATGGAGAAAAAAAATGTACCACACAAAAAAATATATCTACTATTCATTAATAGAGTCCCTGGCACAAATAGAATTTTTTGACTTCTAAATAAACAATACAAGACTACAAAGAACATTTATGGATGACTGACATCAATTGGCCTTTCATCTTGGTTTGTCACCGCCTAGAGATTAAAGCACAAGACGAGTTGAATACTTACGGCAATGCCTCCATTTTTAGGTCACCTTTTGGTGGTACAGTAGTCAAAAGAACAGAGGCATCTGTTGTCAAAGACATAGAGGGCAAAACACTTACAAAATGTTATCACATCAGAAAACATGTATGTAATTATGATCGAAGGACACCAATACAATATACAGGTGAAACTATAAATATTATAATATGATGCAAAAGTCAATTTCCAGATGTGGACAAAATTGTTGTTACCCTTCGATCAAAGAAAAGCACACTCACAGAAATAACTTGAATCTGACAAAAGTAATAATAAAAATAATAATAATTATGAAATTTAACTAGTGAAAATCAGACATTGCTTTTCAGTCATGCTTCAGCAAAATTATTCTAAAAAATAAACTCATGGAGCAGGCCTGAACAAAAATGATGTTACCCCCAACTTAATATTTAGTTGCACAACCTTTTGAGTCAATCACTGTAATCAAACAATTCTTGTACCCGTCAATGAGACTTTTGCACCTCTCAGCAGGTATTTTGGCCTACTCAGGAGCAAACTGCTTCATTTGTCTCAGGGTTGAAGGGCACCTTATCCAGACAGAATGTTTCAGCTTCTTTCAAAGATCAATAGGTTTGAGGAGAAGTCTCATACAAGGATACTTTAGAATACTCTGTTGTCCTCTTAGCCATTTTTGGGTGTTTGTAGCTGTGTTTTTGGTCGTTGTTCTGTTGCAAGACCAATGACCTGCGACTGAGACCAAGCTTTCAGACACTGGCCAGCACAGATTCTCTCTAGAATCCCTTGATAGTCTTTATATTTCATTGTACCCTGCATAGATTGAAGACACCCTGTGAAAAATACAGCAAAGAAGCCCCAGAACATAAAGCCTCCTCCATGCTTCACAGTAGGGACAGTGTTTATTTTTATTTTTTTCCCCGTGTCCTGTCTGGCTGTGAAGAAAACAGAATTAATGTCTGAATGCTGGTGACAAGCCTTACAGATTTACTCTCAGGTGGAGCATTAAAGTTTCTGCTTTTAATGTCACGCCTGATACTTAAAACTTTATTGTTTTTTGAATGCTTTTTAATTCCGACCAGACACGGAGACAGAGGTGAAAGAGAAAAGAAGAGACCGGGGGGGGGGGGGGGGGGGGGGGGGGGGGGGAGATCCGATCCACAAAAATAAACATTCAATGATGAACAAGGGGTCGGCTTCTAGACCTGCTGAAAAGGGACACACAACAATACAAAAGGAGCAAGCTATCACTGTGTCAACTTGATGAAGAAATAAAAAATCAACATTGATTTACTGATCAATCACACGATAATAAGTCAGTGCATTAAGTGCCAACTACAGCCGTAAGACATGTGTTGAACGTGCCATACTTATGAGAGCACCATGTGAGCACCTGTGTGCGAACCCGCGCTTGTGCATGTAAGGTTTCTCTATAGGAGCGTCCAATAGAGTGTGAGGGGCCACAGATCTGCCCCCCAAAGATGTGTAGGAAATGGAAGGAGCTCCAAGTCTCAGAGATCCAGGAGCTGCTCCAGAGTGCAGGGACCCCCGGGAGACTGCAACCAGAAAAGCTCCTGCCCCCCTCAAGAGGCACAGATGATTGCCCCAGGGGGCCATAACCAGCAGCCGGTGGAGTCCCAGGGGATATCAGCGGCAAGCCCACCGGCCCGCCCGCAGCCTCCCACCCCTATGTCGGCTGAGCCCGGAACCCAGCGACCTGGGACCCAGGGGCGACCAGCCCCGCCAGGGACCCAACAGAGCTCAGGGACTCAGATCCCACCAGGCAGCCACCGGGATTAATCAGGCAGACGCCAAAAATCTTAAACCCCCTGACCCGGGAGCCGTGAACACTCAGGCAGACCAAGGCACCACACCCCACACCAAGGGGGAGGGGAGGCGAAGATGTATTGACCCTTTGCACCGACGTCACCTAATCACGTGGGTCCACCATGGTGGACGGCAAAAGCATGTAAACAGTGAGCAACACATTTACTAAACAATGGGAAAAGTAGAGCCTGAAATTGTTTTTGGATTCAAAACAAAACTCCTTCAGCATTCCTTCTAATTCATACCCAGTTTGGTTATCAGAAGAGGTAGCGCATCTAGCCGAGGCTTATAGAGAGTAGTATGTTAACTAGCTTACCAACGTTAGCTTTTGTTCTCTCTGCAGCTGTTCACCGATGTAAACATGTTGCTGACTTTGCCTAAATTCACCCCCCTGGATTTATAACTTTATGTTGTTAACAGCGTTTCACTTTACACCAAATCTGATTTTTAAAAAGTCTGAATCCCTACCAGCTTCTGTTGCTGGTGGTGTTACCGGGTTCAGCTGCTGCTCTCACACCGGAATGAGAAGATCTCTGAATGCTGACGCTCATTTAAATAACGTAATTTTAACACACGTAATCATAATTCGGAGCTTTAATATTGTTAATAATTGTCTCGCTTTACACTACAGTGGACGGAGCGCATCCTCCGTGGTGAAATACCCATCCATTAGGATTATCAATAACTTGTATAAACACATCACATTTATCCCTGTCCCTGTCTTCCTCGTGAAATAAATGAACGTTAATCTTACCCGGTAAAAACATGTTCGCTGCAAATCTGAGGCCTGCTAGTCCGCTTGATTGATTGATCGCTTCAATTCATCTCAGTCTTCAGTCTCAAAGTTATTAAAAAGAAAAAAAGAGTTGAGTTTGCGTCCTTGTCTCTTAATGCAGCCAACCACGCAGCAAGCCAAAACCATTTTACTGTCAAATCAACTAAATAAAAGTGATAAAAGGCTACAAACTGGCTTGTTTTGACTACCTTCACTTGAGTTTCTACGGGTGTAAACGGTCTTTTTGCCGTCCATCATGGCGAAGGGGGCGGTCATATGAGTGGCGTGACGTCACGTGCAAAGGGTCAATAGCAGCAAAACAAGTCCCAGGAGAGGGGAGGAGTCAAAGGCCCCACCTGACATATACAGTCATACACAAACAGTTACACACTACCTCCCTCATGCTCACACATACACATACAACCTAAGACTTACAAAAATGTACACCAGACACCCACTCATGCTCACCATACACACCCTATTCAGTCTGGTCCTGGTACTGCTGCACAAAGGGCACAACCATCACCGGTTCCCAGAGTTTGACCCTTTCTGCTAGGGTGCTGATGAGCAGGCACCCCCGCCCAACGCCGAGCAAAATGACCCACCACCCCAGACCCCAACCAGACGGCCAGATCCTCCTCCTAGCCTCCAGCCCCGGGAAGCCAAGCAACAACAGAGGTGTGCTAAGACCCCTAGTCTCCCTCCCCCTGCTCCAATACAGTGTTGGTGTGTGTTGATAAGGTGTATTCGTGGTTGTGGTGAGCGGGCAGTGCAGGCATCGTCTGGCCTACGCCAGCTGATGTCACCACACCACCCCTCTTCCCCCCACAGCCCTCTGTGCAGTTTAAAATTGGAAGTGGGCACCGGCAATTGGGATGAGGCTGAAAGATCCCCTTGCCAAAAGCCATTGAATATACGCACTCCCAAGGCCCTAAGTGTGTGTTTGCATGGAATGTTGTTGAAGTGTTTAATGTGCAAATAAAATTGGGGGGCAGGCTGCCACAGGAATGCGGAAATGGGGTCCACCCCCCAAGATCCTATGTGCATGTTTGTGTGATGATGTGAGGGAGCAGGAGGAGAAAAATGTGTGTGGGGATGGGGAGGAATGGCTGGTTGGCATAAGCCCTCCAGGGAGCCAGCTCCCCCACTGGCCCCAATAGGCACCTCCGTTGACAAAATGCCACCCAGGGCATGGAGACCCCCAGCCCATCTTGCCAGGGCCTAAAGCAGCAGCATCGCAGAAATCCACAGAGTCTGAGGGAACAAAAGCAGCCCCACCCCAGCAGAATATCTACTCCCATCCCTGCATTTGCACAGCTTCCAGAATATATAAGACATGGGACGTCCAGGTAAGGTTGGGTCCTCCCCCTCCTGGACATCCCCCTCCCCCGTGATGGGACAGCAGAGGAGCCAAGGTCTACCTGAGGCCCCTGAGCCCGGGCCAGGCACTGCCGCATGTTCCCGCCTTTTTCCCGGCAGTGTACATGTCATGACCCAACACCCAAGGCCCCGCCCAGATCCCCCACACGGGGCCGGCCACCCCTACACTCCGAGCCCCCAGTGTTTATTGCTTGATATGCTTCATTTTTCTTTCTGACAAGAGCTGATGTGCCTTGGCAAAAAGTTACATTTTTGTCTCATGCGTCCATAAGACATTCTCCCAGAAGCATTGTGACTTCTCATCATGTAGTTTAGCATATTCCAGTTTGTTTTTTTTATGATTTTTGGTCGACAATGGTGTCCTCTTTGGTCGTCTCCCATGTAGTTCTCTTTGGTTTAAATGACGAATGGTGCACTCTGACAATGTTTCTTGAGCTTAGATCTCTTTAGAAGTATTTTTGGGGCACTTTTGTTACCATTTGGATCATCAGTTTTCAAATTTGTCAATATTTTTCTTTCCCCCCCAGATGCCAAGTTCAGGAAGGTTGCTATAGTCCTATGGATTTGAAATTTCAAAAAATATCCATTTATCCACTCTCTTCCGCTTAACTGGAGACAGGTTGCGTGGGCAGCAGCTTACACAGGGAGGATCCAACTTCCCTCTCCCCAGCCACTTGGGCCAGACCCTCAGCGGGAATCCCAAGGTATTCACAGGCCAGCCGAGAGACAGTTCCTCCAGTGTGTCCTGGGTCGGCCCTTTGGGTTTCCTCCCAGTTGGACGTGCCTGGAAAACCTTACAAGGGAGTCATTCAGGAAGCATCCTAACTAGTTGTCCGAGCCACCTCAACTAGCTGTATGTGCAAATAGAGACACAAAAATATCTAGACGTTTGAAGATGGCTTTAGCCTTTACCTTTAACACGCTTGTCCCACATTAACTATTGGACACTTTTATAGAGAAGCCTTACAGTGGGGCAAAAAAATATTTAGTCAGCCACCGACTGTGCAAGTTCTCCCACTTAAAATGATGACAGAGGTCAGTAATTTTCATCATAGGTACACTTGGCACCATAGGTACAACTGGCTGAACAA